AAACGGCGACATCGTAGCGCTATTCACTGAAACGCCATTTAAAATTAGGTCAACGGTAATTGCCAAAAACCGAACACCAAGAAATCGGCACTTTTATGATTTCAAAGTTCAATCAACGTTAACTCCCGTTTCAGCAGCAAAATTTACAAGGGCTAATTGTAAATAAAATGCTTTGAAAGTTGTTTTCGAGAAAAATCATGAACCGACATTTATATCTGTGAAAAACTTTGTTTTTTGGCTGTTTTCTTTCACGCTGTGGAGTTTTGTGACGGTCTGTGCTGATAACGAACGGTGACGTCATTCATTAAAGCTTGGATTATGCAAAGTGGGCGGTTCTGTTTGCGAGTAACAAACAATACAGAGACTACACTTGGCAGTTGAAGTGTTTGCAAATACACTGTATTTATTTTTGGGCTGTTGTGTTTGTAAACTTGTTAGTTCAAGCATGCCACGAGTTTCGGAGTCTCCTGGAGGCAGCTCCTATCCAACAAAGACTGATGCAATAGGGCTCAAAATTCACTGAGGCCTTGCAGACAATTACCCCCACTGAAAATTTATATTGGATCTACAGTTCGTCGATTGGGTGATCGGTTTGCTGAGCATCTACGTCAAACTAGACAAAAAAATCGTTATTATTCGGTTTCACTTCATTTTAATTCTAGTGGACATAATATTACAGATATGTCTATTTCTGGTGTATGTGTTGTCAATGGCAACGTAAATCAGCTCAGGCGTGTCGAGGAGGAAACTATATTCAGCCTTGGAACTAAAGAACCACATGTTTTATTGCTCCAAATATAACAAGTCATTGAAAATGAAACAGTCCCCATTAAATTTGTGAAAGTTCTCTTTGTGCTCGTCATATTAAAGCGGAAGGGTTGGCGCGAGCGTGTCCTTAAAACTTGAGTACCAAGTGGCGTATACAACAGATTGTTTATTTACATCAAAACACGTGTTCCGTGTAGTAGTAATATGGCCAAAAATAAAAACAGCTGTTATTCGGCCATCTTTGATCTGATTATGAAACACACTGATATGTATGATGTATGTGCCAAATACAAATGAAAATGGTACATAAATTGTGGAAATATAGTAGTAAGGCCAGATGGCTGTCAATCAGCCATCCTTGACCAGATTTTGAAACAAATTATTATGAACATCCATCCTAACATGTATAAAGTACATGTATGTGCCAAATTTGAATGAAAACTTACAGAGCACATCCAAGATACCGCATAAAAAAACAAAAACAAGATGCCTGCCAGTCGACCATCTTTGACCCAATTGCGAAATAAATCGTCATGGACATGTATCCAAACATGTATAATCGATGTACCAAGTTTGAATGAAAACTGACAAAGCATGTCCAAAATACAACATTTTCAAAAAAACAAGATGGTTGCCAGTCGGCCATTTTGAATTGAATTGCTAAACCACTGCATGTGCATATGTCCCACATAAAGTACTAGGCACATGCAAAGAATGAACAGAATCGGTCCAAGGGATTCTGAGATACAGTACAGTTCTCGCGAAAGCTTTGGCTTTTGTGGCATCATTGTCGCCTACGCATGGCTTCATTGTCGCCTCAGCATCGCATCATTGTGGCATCAGCTTCGCATCATTGAAAATTGAAGCTGTGTTCGCCTCGCTTATTCTGTGGCATCATCGTGGCCTCAGCTTCGCAGTCTCATGGCATCAACATGGCATTGGCGTCAAAGTATTGCGACATGAGTATGACCTCATTATTTTCACACGGAAAGGCAGTAGAGAAAAACACGTGTACAGAAGTTCGATATGTAATCGATTTGAAATTCAAGGCAGTAAGGGGAGTAAAATAATATGACCAAGAGTAAAATGACATTTTAAAAAGATATCTTCTTTAATTATATAATGTTGCGAGTATTGGGTACCAAAAACTTTGTGAAGTACATTGCAATCTGCAAGGTGACGAGTGTCATATTGACTGCAAGGAAAATCGTGATAAATTTAAATCACACGATGCAATCGTCGGTCGGATACAACGCAATTTGCTATACAAAATGAAACTGTTCTTGTTATAAAATTACCTTATTTTCGTTCTTTTTTTTTGCCGATAAGAGAACAGATTCAGATTCCTCATTTCAGTGGTATTTTTCTGTGTTTCGTTTAGTTTTAGCAGAGTCCGATCCCATGCCTGGACTACTAATACATGCAAAACACACGTACGCCGCCTGTGCGTCGGCATTGTCGCCTGCCATCTTGATACAAGTTCCAAATAAGTGCGTACATTTCTAACTATGAT